TGCCATTGCCTCCTTCCTAGGGTGGAGAGAATGTGACTGTCCAAAGGTCACCCAGATGGATTTGTGTCTAAGATAGACTAGACAGTATCTTGTTTTCTAGCCTGATGCCACTACACCAAATTGGCTCTCTCAAGAGGTTATACCAATGTTTAAAACATCTGGACAGTTTTCACTTTTATTACTGTTGAATTTAAAAGAAATCCAGGGGACAGCAAAAAAGGCAAGGCAGACCGTAATGCATTTTCATTGTGTCTTTGATTTATTTTTAATGATCACATCCCAACTCTGTGCTGTTATTGCTAGAATATAGTTGATCTTGTTTAAAATAAATTAATAACAGGATTAAATGATGAGAAATTATTAATATTAACAAGCATGTTGCAAAGTGGCAGAATTATCTCTCCATTTCTACACTGGAATGTTTCAAAGTTGATTTTTCACATAATATGTATCTGGAAACATTGCATCCCTTTATTATATTCAAGAATTGCCTCTTGATTGGTAGTTCAATCAATTAATTCATAGAATCATAGGGCTGAAAAAGACCTTGGAGGTCCTCTTGTCCAACCTCCTGTCTAAGGCAGGAGATCTTATTGCATCCTGAACAAATGGTTGTCCAATCTTTTCTTGAAGATCTCCAGCATTGGAATGTTCATTACCTGTCTTAAAAAAAACACCAGGTGCATACAATTTTGAGCAGGGGTGGGTTCCTGCTGGCATTACTACCGGTTCGGGGCTCAAATTTTTTTTGAGTGTGCACACTGGCTTCATTCATGCACATGCCAGATGCACATTTGTACCCAAAAATGCACCTAAAAAGGTCTGCACATGTGCACATTAAAAAAGAAAAAAATACATTTTTTCAATGAAGATTGTTCTGCCCGTGTGCAGAACAGAAAATCAAGATGGCGGCCCCGAGGATAGAAACGGTCCAGGCGTGTATCTGGCTGAGTTATTACCTACTTGGCTGAACCAGTTGGAACCAGTAGGAACCTACCTCTGATTTTGAGCTTATTTGGAATTTTCCAACATTTGCAAATAACTGCAATCAAATAGTCTCCTTGAATGAGTACTGATTGAGAAGGTACAAATGGGATGGGAGCAGATTTCCAAATTGCTATGTTGTCTCCACATTACCTATACATAAACCTCAGTAAGTAAAATTGTACACCAATTATTAAGGTAAACGCTCTTCTCCCCCTCCCCTTTTTAAATTTAAATTTAAAAAGTCCTTAGCATTACTTTCTCCATTCTTTTTTCCACTGCTCTCTTTTCCTCCTGATTGTCATAGGAGTAATCCATTGTGTATAGATTTCCCCTGGAATTCTTTCCAAATTGTACCGACTGCTTTCTAATAGCTTGAATTATCTACGCCTCAGCCAAACCCCATTATCCTTGTCCAGACTAATTATTAATCTATTAGTTGGAACTAATAGAGGACAATATTAACAGTTATTAAGTTCATTTTATGGGTTACAGGATTAACTAGTCCATTTGTGTGTGAAACAAATTATTATTGATTTTTTAAAAAAATATCTATTTACCTGATGGGTAGGTATTTTGAAGTCACTTAAAAAAAATATCCTTAGGCATTAAATTGTTAAGCAGATAACTATGCAATGTCGTTTAGTCACAGATATACTAACATTAGTTATCTCTTATTTTCTTAGTAAAGACCCTCCTTTACCCCAAATTTTAAAAATGAGCAAAAGTAGTTGTATTTTTGGATGGCATGATTTTGAGCGCAAGTACTGCAGTGTAACCAGAAGGGGGAGATCCGTTTTCAATTTTATGGAAGTTTTCCCATTTATCAAAAACATAATTAAGCACTGTTTCATTTTAGTAATGAAGATCAGAATGCAATCCCTAGAAACATGCATGAAAGGGGAAAAAAATCTCAGCTGTGGATTTGCTAATATTAACATTTCAAAATGAAAGTATGGAATGGAAAAGCTAAATAAAAAGCCAAATATTCTCAAATCTTATCAAGAAAAACCCTGTAATAATAGAGAACATGCGAAATTAGGATAAACGAACATGCAAAATTAGGATAAATGAAAATAAAATGTGTTCTTAAACAGATAATACATTATAAAGGTAGGATAGCATACAATGTGAATATTTTCAGTATTTCAGTGATGCTAAATCATTTTTTTCTTTTCCAAGCTGCTTCCTGAGATCTTCTGTTGGCAAAGTAAGCTCTGTTTTTATTTTGGAAGGATTCAATATATAAAGTTTTCTTGTACGCACTAATTTTTTTTTTCACTTTTATTTGATTCTCAGTTTCTGAAGATGGTATTATGATTTTTACCCCAATCCAATTTTAATCTCGTTAATGCACTGAAGGAACAATAGCAGTAGACTTATATACCGCTTCATAGGCCTTTCAGGCCTCTCTAAGCGGTTTACAGAGAGTCAGCATATTGCCCCCAACAATCNCCAAGCTATCTTCCATGAGCCCAAGGTTTTTCTTTGGTCTGTTATGAACAGCTCCATGTTATGCTGGTTGAATTAACATATCCACCAAGACAATACGTGGTTTCCAAAACAAGCTTTACAACTTGGTGTGTTTATGGGCCTAACTGATTGTGGTTTATTCAGCCGGCCATAATTACACATATTGTGACTTTGGTGATCAAGAGCTGCAATTAACAGTTTTGGAAGAGCTAAAAGCTTCAGTGGTAGTAAAAGAAAATAAGCAAGCCATACAAATGGCTAGGGCTGGAATTTTCACTCTTCTCCCTAGTTTTTGGAAAACAATTGTGTTTTTTCTTCGTCATCAAAATCCTGGCAAATTATCAGAGTTTAGTGGCCATGAAAAGGCATTTGGAAGCCACAACTGGTCTCAGATCTGTAAGCTGTCATTCTTTAGCTTGGTGAGACTCCAATCACTTTGCCTGATTCTTTTCCAAGCACTAGCAAGCATTTCAATTCTGCAAATCTTTATCTGTATTCTTTTTGTATTTTTAGCATTATTGACAGCTTTTGTAATAGAGCATCAGAGAGGTTCTATATTTAGCAGAAGCTAAAGAGGCTGTTTCAGAAAAGTTCACTTAGTACAAAAAGGTTAGCAATGTCTTCTGCGCCAGAGTAGATGCTTGGAATTTTGAGAAAATGGCATCATCAAATATGTGAAATTCAGAACCCATAAAACCATATGCTTAAAATCTTTACTTGTGCTGGAATGCAATTGGGCAAAGGCAGTATAAAGATTGTGAAATGTTTGGCTTATGACCTCTATTTTACATTTATAGACAGATATACTTTACAAATCTCATAACAAGATCAATACTTTTTTTTTCTTTGTTAGCATATTTATGTTCTCATTTCCAAGAATTTTCTCGTTCCTAAATCTTGTTTTGGTACATTTTTCTTCCCTTTTCAAGGTAAAGCATCATCATAAATAAGTCTTCAGATACATAATGTCATTGTCAGTACTGTCTCTGCCACCGTACTCCGCAACTTCTCGTTGAAACTTTTCTACAATCTCAACAGAATCTGAAAGCTGATGCTCAAGTTCAAAAAAAAATTGAGAATTATTTTTTTTCAGAATGCAAGCGATAGGCAGCCTTCTAGGGTGGTGCGGGTGAGGATTAGATCTGTACAGATAGTCCTCAACTTACAACAGTTCATTTAGTGACCGTTCAAAGTTACTACGGCACTGAAAAAAGCGACATGATCATTTTTCATTCTTATGACCTTTGTAGCGGTTCCATGATCATGTGATCAAAATTTAGAAACTTGGCAACTGGTTCATACTTATGATGGTTGCAGTGTCCGGCGGGGTGTGTGTGTGTGTCATGTGATCACCTTTTACAACCTTTTGACAAGCAAAATCAATGGGGAAGCCAGATTCACTTAACAACCGTGTTATTAACTTATCAGCTGCAGTGATTCACTTAACAACCGTGTTATTAACTTATCAGCTGCAGTGATAAACTTA